AAGATGTACCAGTTCTACCTCCAAACTTCTTTAATTCCTCTCGTGCCATGTGATGATCGGCCGAAGATATTTATATTTTGACTCGATCTCACAAAGATTTCAAGTACCCACTTGATAACAATGAACGCCAGCACACGCTTGCGCCATCAACTCAAGTCTGGTAGCCCAGTTGTAGGTATCTGTTTCAAATGGTCAAGGCCATGAGGCAGTATCATCAGGAGTCTCGCTAGGTTGCACCCGGCGTATACGATGGGATCTCAGCACGCCTTGCTCTCGAGGCCGGTTTTGAAACTTTGTACATGAGTGGGGCCGCCACAACGGCTTCGATGCTCGGCCAGCCAGACTTGGCAATCGCGACCCAGAATGACTTTGTTCAGGTTCGCTTCTTCTTCTTGAACTCGAACAACTATATATCAAGTAGTGCAGAATGCGACCATGATAGCCGGACTATCCCCAGAGACCCCTCTTATATGCGACGCTGATACAGGGTGAACAACTTTCCTCAACACCCATTGACAGTGTAACTCAACAACCGATATCTTCAGTTTCGGCGGTCCTGTAATGGTAGCTAGGACAGTCACCGCTTATGCACGTGCGGGAGTCGCGGGGCTTCATATCGAAGATCAGGTGAGATAAACTCCTTACATGCACTCCCTGCGTGACTGATTCTTTAGGTACAATCTAAGCGCTGTGGCCATCTCCTCGGCAAGCAAATTGCTTCTGTTTCCGACTTCATCGCTCGTATTCGCGCCGCTGTCGCCGCTCGCGCTAGACTTCCAGGTTGTGACATTGTGCTCATAGCCAGAACGGATGCAGCACAGAGTTTGGGGTTGGACGAGGCGCTGAAGAGGCTGAAATTAGCGATTGAAGTGGGGGCTGACGGTATGTTTACAGATTTATCATTTACAACCAGGTTTTTGATTTGTAATCTTGCAAAGTTGCTTTCCTTGAGGGTGTCAGGAATCGTGAGGAACTAGTTCGAACTATCAAAGAGCTTTCGCCCACACCTGTGCGTTTTATCTTGTCCTTTTCTCCATGCGTCTAATGTGAGGATGAACAGGTTCTGCTGAATGTAGTACATGGAGGTTCAACCCCGGATTTCACTGTTGAAGACGCCAAGGCTCTTGGAGTGAAGATCGTCAGTGAGTCTGCGCTACTGAGTCCTTTCATGAGTTGACCCCTTGCCAAGTCTTTCCTTTGATTACTGCAGTACCGGCGATTCACGGGATTCGCGAAGCCCTCCAGTCATTGAAGACTTCGGGCTCCGACGTGCAAAGTGCGATGGGCATGAGCCCAAAACAATTTTTTCAGGTCTTGGGTAAGTTATAGTAGCTTGGCTCGTCTGAAGCTTTCTAACTTTTGGCTCTTTGTAGGTCTCGATGAAGCGATTCAGATTGATAAAGTTGCAGGAGGTGAAACCTATAATGATGTGTAACGATGTTATACCTAGGCTCGTTCCAGTATAGAACTATGACCTGCAAAAAAAAAAAAACAGGAAGTAAGCTGATTTCCAGTAAGGAGAGTCGGTTGGGCTAGGCGAGGCTCCTACTCCAACAAGATTAATTCACTGATATGAGAAATAAGAAGTTCTACTTTTCATTTTTTAGCTTGTTGCCACCGTTAGCTAATGCTCATGATTTTTTCTCTCCAGGCAGCGATTCCAATCATAATTCCTATGTTCTAACGTTTTGATCACCATCGTGCGGACAGTGCCCTACACAAATCTCCTAAAGATTGACGGTTCGTCCCAAGGGTCGGCGAACTTAGCCGAATTTGTACCCCGGCTTGACACAAGGACCGACCGGTCCGTTATTAACCAAGTTATCTCAGCGCTTAGTTACCGTGAGTAGCGTCTGTGTTATTATAGAATAAGGCCAGTTATATCGTCCATCAAACGCTAGCCACTTGTCTCTCACCACCCACAGACCGACGATATGACAAGAAAATATCACAAAACACAAAAGCGCGGGAGATCCATTAAAAGATCAACAACCCAGGATCTCATCTCTCTCGAAGATACTTATGCCACGCTACTTGTATCTGAAGAACGTGATAAGATCGTGAAGGAGTGTCAAGACCAGGTCAAAGCAATCGCTGCAGAATGCCGAGCAAGGAACATGAAGTATAGGTCTGTTTATTGTCAATTGAAGACGTTATATGGATATGATGAGACTGTGATCAACTAGAGACGTTGAATTTGACCTAGAAAAAGATCAAGAACGATGCTTGCGTGGTCTTGCTGAGGATTCGGAGTCAGACCCCGACATGTACAAACCATCCGATGTTCAACGGGTAACCAGTATTTTCAGAAAGCCACGCTTCTACATTGATGGTCCAGAACCCAATGACATCGTTCAAGGAAAATTGAGCGACTGCTGGTTTTTGTCGGCGTTAGCAACGATGTCCACTAAGGAACACCTCGTGGAACAGTTTTGCGTTGAAGTAATTTGGTTTCTTGTATCACATTAAGCATGCTCAACACATTGATGTTTTCTATCCAGCGTAACGAGGAGATCGGAGTCTATGGGTTTGTCTTCTTTCGTGATGCTCGATGGGTGGCTGTTATCATTGACGAGTCCGTGTTCCTTCATCTAATCGAAGTCCTAACGTTCATGTGCACTGTGAAGCTTCCTTTATACATCCTTTCCTAAGTTTGATGACCTTTCTCCTAAAGAGCGGCAACTTTACCACGACAACGAAGCGATGTATAACAATGTTGCGAGAAGACGCGCAGAAAATTTACACTTTGCCAAGTCTGCTGCCGAGGACTCACAAGAAACTTGGGTGCCATTGTACGAGAAAGCGTACGCTAAATTGCACGGTAACTACGCTGCGCTGAATAGTGGATATGTTGGCGAGGCCATCGAAGATCTCACAGGGTGCGTCTGCTTTCATATCCTGATGTAACGCTCTCCACGAGTGCGATTCTTAGGGGAGTGACAAGTCCGATTTTAGTCAAGGTCTGATACGGTAGTCATTGCATATGCTCAGAGTTGACAGCGCGTTCAGGATATCCTACTTCCTGACGAATTTTGGCACAAAGAACTCATTCATGCACATGAAGACAGATTGTTCGCATGCTCTTTTGACTCTCCAAACCATGTCAGTGATTACAAGAGGAAGAACGGTCTAGTCGGAAGGCATGCGTATTCAGTTCTTCGTGCAGTAGAATACAAAAAAAAGCGTTTCGTCGTTTTACGGAACCCCTGGGGAAACCACGAGTGGAATGGACCCTGGTCAGATGGGTCAAAGGAATGGACTGATGATTGGCTTCCTGCACTCAAGGAATTAAAGCATTCTTTCGGAGCTGATGGCCAATTCGTGATGGAATGTGAGCACCACGTTGATTCTCCTTGCGACTGTCCTCTCAATCTACTTTTTTTTGTTTGAAGACAAGGACTTCCTCGAGAACTGTGAAACAATTGACAGGACATTATTGCTATTCGGCGACTCCAAGTCTTCTTGGACCATGTTTTCGCGATGGCTGAGAGTAAAGCCTCGCCCTTGCTTGGAATGGGGCTATGGAGACGTATCATGTATGTCCCCCTTCAAAAGATCACAGGAGACATTCTATTCATATATGTTCTAATAGTCACTATATCTCTTGCAAGGACATCCTCCATCATAATAGTCCTCTCAAAACTCGATGAACGATACTTCAGGGGGTTAGCGGGCAACTCAAGGTGGACCTTTGACTTCTTGGTCTATAGACGCGGGGAAAAGAATCGCGTAGCTTCATCGTCACCATCAGTATTTCTGAACCAACGTAGTGTCAATGCAGAATTGAAGGATCTCCCAGCAGGAGAGTACATCGTACATGTAAGCCATATTATTCGACATTTATTCTAGAGCTTGACTGAACCTCATGTAAGGTCCGCTTGGATAATCAGAGTCCTGTTGTTTCACCTTCAGTGATATCAAGTCGAGATGAAATCTCTCAGACTCTACGCAATGCCGTTTATCCAACCCCTCTGGTCAGTACTTCCCTGAAAAGCACCTCTTGAATGTCAACTTCACCTAAATTTCAAATTTCACAGGACAACTTGAGACAGGGTTGGTCAATGTCAAGGCCAACAGAAAATGATACCTCTTTATATAGATGCATGACCAAGAACTCCAAAACAGTTAATGTGAGGACTCGATCATCACCGCAGAATTCCTCTGAAACATCTCCAATGACATTCCTAATTAGCATCGCATACTTCTTCGCATGTTAGCAGAGAAACTCAAGAGCCAGTTAATTGCATCGAGTATGTGACCATTTTGAACTTCAGGAGACCTTCAAGTCTCATTGAACTATTCTAGACTCTGAGAAAAGGTCTGTCAAATGACAAATTCCAGTGATAAGCTCCCTATTATGATTTCTACAAGTACTGTTTCCATGTATCTCTCAACACCCCTGGATACACTCGCCGGGAAAGATTTATTAGAGCTGAGTGATGACGACGATAACAGGATCAAGGTTTCTTTGGAGGAAGGCCTAGAGCCGCAGGCTCTCAATTCTACAATTGTTTCCGGCGACGGCCCAGGACGCAATGAAAGTATGGCTGAGGAATTTGAGAACGAGGATGTCTCGGAGGATGGAGTGACGTTCCCGGAATTTCTCGATCCTGACACCATCGTACTCGGTCTACGGGTCTATATTCGGAACATGTCCGAGTCCCCCGGGTCTCCTGTTGTGATCAAGGGCCAATGTCGGCAGAATTGAAAGTACACAACAGTGAGTCAGGCTCCAGTGTCATGATTGTTTGTCTCTCAAGTGGTTGATTTCTCAAACTTGAATACTTATTACAGGTACGGAGTATCAAGTAGCCCTCGCAAATGATAAATTGGCGAAGGCTCGAAGGTATACAAGGTAGTTGTGTCGTAGATGTATACATGGATCAGTTCGAACACCTAGCAGGGCTTGCAGATTGTGACAGACGTATTCGCAGCCGAGTCCACGTAACATTAGATGGCGGACGAAATGTCTTTTACAAAGGAAAAAGAATGTTATTATTAGCCCACCGCGAGGGTCGAACTCGCAGCCTTCAGATATAACCCGCAATGGAAATAAGAGTCTGACGCTCTATCCGATTGAGCTAGGCGGGCTACGTTTGTATTCCTGATAATTAAATTGGCTGATTTGACCGAGCGTGGGACCCGCTAAAGAACCTTTTTGAAGAGCTCGTTATGTTTTCCTGGCGCTATCATCGCTTCGTATGGGCCAGTCATTGATTTACAGCTACTCTTTGTATAAGTATTTAGGGCGTTATCGGTGGGTAAGTGTTGATAGGTCTTCTTATCATCTTATTCGGTCATCTGTAAGAAGACTATCTCTAGCCCCGCTTCACTTCGGCATGTGACCAGAATGAGACAAGTCATGGTTCAGAAAACCAGAAACTACTCTGACAACTCCTCCCTTAGATCTGTACATATAGCCTAGGCCAATTAAGGTTTATTCCTTCTTTTCAATCCCTTGCTCTCCGATTGGATCACTCCTGATTCACATCTCAATCTCTCCCCCTTCCTCCATTGTACCTAGTGTGGTAAACCATCTGTTGTACCCGGTGTGGCAAGTAGTAACCAGTGTAGTAAGTAGTAAGCAGTATGCTTACACTCACCCCCCTTCAAAATCCTTATATCCTCCAACAGTCTTCTTTAACTCCCAAACATCCAAGGCTGCTGTGTCTTCCATCTCTTTGCCACTCTTTCATTCATGCGATCTGATCTGTACCCTTTCCATTGAACCAGATGTTGTACAACCCTACCACATTGATGCTCATCCAAAATCTTCTCTATGACATGCTCATTCTCACCATCCTCCATTGCAATAGGACCTGGCATTTTGCATGCCGGTGAAGGAAACATAACATTATTGCTAGGATGATAGGGCATCAGTAAACTTGAGTGAAATTTGTTGATGACATGCATTGAATCCAGTAAGTCCAGGACATACTCTGAAGTTTCAGAGAAAGCCCTAACAACAGTATATGGCCCATCACAGCAAGGCATAAACTTGGCAATGCAGCTGTCCTTTTACCGCATGTAGTTCCTCCTTTGATTCTCTGTAGACAGCAACACCTTGTTCTCCACGTCAATAAGCAAACTCAGGACCTCTATGTACATTCACATGGTGAGCTTGGTTGATCTTTGCCATCAGGAGATTATCCATAGCTTCTGGAAAAGTTCCCTCAATCTCAAGAAAAACTTGTCAAACCAAACCAGCTCCTTTGCAGACAACTCTTTTAGGGATGGTAGATACAACAGCAGTATTGATCTCGGGGTGAAGGCCGACTTCAGTTAAAAAGGAGTGAAACACATTGAGGCATTTAGATCACTGGGCAATTCCTTACATGGCAAACATGATGTCCACACACAATGAGTACTGTCAATGAGTGCAAAGCATGTGAGACCAAGAGGCAGGGCTAAGGATGTGAGTAGAAGATGAGCAAGGAGCACTGGTTATGTTCAGGGTGAAGGGTATAAGGGCAAATGCCAGGAGTGTGGAGATGGGCTGGACAACAAGTGCTGGGGCTGAGAGTGAGTCCTGGGGCCAGAGATCTAAAGACTAGGGTAAGTAGCAGGAACTTAGAAAGTTTCAGGATGAGAGATCAGGCATGGGGATCTAGCCAAGCTGAAAAGAGAAAGAATTGAGGCAAGAGATAGAGGAGGAATGGAATGAGATGAAAACTAGAGGAGAGAATGAGAAAAGGAAGAACTCAGATTCTTGAGGCAGAGATAGAGAGAGAAGCAGAGAGTAGATTTGGAATGGAGATATGAGACAAGTAGAGATGAGAGTAATGAGATAATACAAAACAAGTAAGAGACAATATGAGGTGATACAAAATGAGATGAACAGAGTCAAAACTAAAGAAACCAGAACACAAAACACAAAACAAGACAGAAACAGAAATATGGGACTATGGGCACAATATCAAGACTACTGTACTAGAGGCTACACTATGATCTCTATATGAGAGGTAGTAGATTGGCCCCAGGGCACAGGTCTGGGCCTTGGTGACAAGTCATGGTGCCAGGGCTCCCAATAATGCCTAGGAATCATGCAAGGTTGCAGTGGATGTTGGTGTGGGTCATGTGGTGCAAAGGAAGCTCCTAAAAGAAAGGACTTGCTTTGGGAGCACAGAAGGCATGGAATGTTGAGGAGACAAGGAGTTAAGTGAGGAGGGAGTGTAGTGTGCAGAGGTCAGATCATGGGTGATGTGTTGGTCATGATGTGTAATGGATGCTTGGTTGGGGCTGGGAGAAGGGGCTGGTGCTGATGTAGCATTGGTGGGCAATGATGGTTGAGGGGGTGCCAAGAGTGGTGGTGGATCAGCACTGATGTGGTGGTGATGAGTAGTGATGGCCTGGAGGTTGCTGAAGTGGGTGATGATGAGTGCCAAGGGTGACCAGGCATGTAACAGTCTGGGTTCAAGGCATTGTAGAGCTAGTTTGAGGAGGTGGGAGTCTCAGTGCTGGGGCTTGGTACCAAAAGTAGGCAGTGGGTTATGACATTTACAGTGTTCATCATTGCATTTCTTATTTTAGACAAGGCATCCACCCATCTCTGTTGCTGTTGATCAACATAGTAATACAAACATTGGATTATAGTCTTGTTAGATCATTCAGAAAATCCATCTGTCTCTGGATGAAAGGCAGTTGACATTTTATGTTGAACTTTTGTAAGCCTGATGAAAGCTTTCTAAAACAACAAAGTGAACAAGGAGTCACAATCTGTGATGATTTCTGTCAGTAGACCATTCTCACAGTACTATTTGCAGAAAAAGACATGAGCAAACTCTTCCTCAGTTTGATCTGAATGGCAGAGCACTATTTGAATGTTTGCTTCTGCCCTGCAAGTCATGAAACAGAATTGATTGACACCTTTCTTCATTGATAAAGGTTCAACAAAATTCAGCATAACCAAACTGAAACGTGCAGTAATGGGTGCAAAGGTCCCATCAGCTTTGAGGTATTTCCTTTGTTCCACTGGCAATCAGGGCACAATGGGATGTACTCCTTTACCAATTTTTATGCATGTTTGGCCAGTAAAAGGATTTATGCAAGGATGTGTAAGTCTTATCCACACTAAAGTGCCCCAACTCATCATGTGCCAAGCAAAACAAGTTATCCCTTAGTCTGCTCAACTTTGGTATGATGAATCAATTCCCCATGTACAAAAGTCCATTATAACTTTTCACACCTGGAGGTGCCATTCTAGAGATCAAATCTTTTCACAGTCGACAAGTATATGATGGATCCACCTTATAACCCTTCTTTAAAGTGTTTACCATCTCTAAATTGCTGTCAATTGTTATAATTGGTGCAATTGCCACATGCTTATTGTCTGATATCTTTGACAGTGCATCAGCAACCATGTTATCCTCATCCTTGATGTAGTTTATCAAGTAATCAAATTGCATTATATACTCCATCCACTTTGCTTGACAGCACAATAAATGTAAGGGCAACCTCCGGAAGCTGCGGCTCAATTACACAACTAGCAGAGGGAAATCCAAAGTTATATTAGGCATGATAATCAACAATACAATGGTAAATAATCACCTAGCAGAGGGAAATCCAAAGAGAACAAGTCCAAGGATTCCTGCTGCTTGGTGCGGTGCATCAGCAGGCAGTGGAGGCATGAGAACAACTGTACAGGTGACTGGAGCTAACCTTAATCTTGGATAATGCTCAAACAGTGAGTGTGGGAAGTTCTGGAGGTTTCCTGAAAAGGAAATGTCCTTTGGCAATCTCTGGGGGTCTAGAATGAGCCTCAGGAGTCTAGAGCAAGCCCTGGGGGTCTCAGGGAGTAGCGTAAAAAGGTGGGCAGAATGTAGTGAAGTGTCAAAAATGGAAGTTGACTGGAAGTTTCCTGACAATAAGTCTCTTCAAGTGTTAAAATTCTGAAGAGTCTTGTAATTATATAGATCTCAAAGTGAGTCCCCAATAAGTAAGTCCACTATTTATGAAGTGCCTGAATAATGGCAAGCAACTCATGCTCATGCGTTGGGTAAATTTTCTCTGCTGATATCAACTGCCTTGAATCAAATGCAATTGGTCAAGCTGACTCCCATGACTTTCCAAATGACAAAACCGCACCCATCCTCCATTTTAAAGCATTACAGTAACAAAAATGATATTTTAGCTAGGATTTTCATGATCAATCATTGTTGAACAATCCCTCTCAACCACAAGGTCCTTGATGCCATTAAATGCAGTTTGATGCCATGGAGATAAGCACATATTGTATTCTTCTCTTTGTCAGCAAAGTTAAGACTGAGGTATGCTCTGCCAAGGCTGGCAGAAATGTTGCAACATATTGAACCAGCCTCAAAAACTGACAAATGTGCTTGATCTTTAATAGTTGAGGCTATGAGAGTATTTTTTCTACCCTTGATACATCAGCCTCAATCTCTCTTTTCAATATGTGATGGCCCAAGTTGATTTCTGTGCAGAACAACTTGCTCTTCTTAAAAGAACAGAACAGGTGAGCTTGATGCAAGGCCTCCGAGACTTTGACAACATTTTGCTCATGTTCCTCAACTATATGCAAACAGATGATGATATCATTCAAACAAACATATTTATGCAACCCAAATGGTTTCAATGTGGCCATGTACTTGATATCATCTGGATGAACCAAGGTTTGGAAGAATGCATTTGTCAAATCAATTTCCCGGAACTGAGTGCTTGGTCACATACAATCAGTCAAGATGTTGTCAATACATAGAAGTGGGTAGTTATCAGGTATAGTTTGCACATTTAACTTTCTATAGTCACTAATTCACTGCAAAAGCACTGATGGATCTGACTGTCACAATCTGCTGTCCACCTCCAATACTCAGTCTTGGTCCCAGGACTTCCACCTCTCCAAACCAGCTCCATGATGCTTAGGCCTGAACCACTACAAGACCAGCCTCCTTGGTAGCCACCACCACCACTTGAGCAGTCCTCAGCCATCACTGCTCACTGCTGCTACTGGCCACTGCCAGCCCAACAGCCTTTGGCCATCACTGCTCATCGCTGCCACCAGCCACCACCATCGTAGGCACCTGGCCATTACTGCCTGCAGATGCCACATCAGTGTCAGCCTCAGCAACTCTCAG